TGAGAAGCTGTGTGTGTGAGAGGCTGTGTGTATGTGTGAGGTTGTGTGTGTATCAGGCTCTGTGTGTGTGTGTGTGTGTGTGTGTGTGTGTGTGTGTGAAAGAGAGGCTGTGTGTGTGTGTGAGAGAGAGGCTGTGTGTGTGTGAGGCTGTGTGTATGTGTGAGGCCGTGTGTGTGTTAGGCTCTGTGTGTGTGTGTGAGGCTCCTAATGTCAAATGTGGAAAATAGGCTTTATCCATTCCACAAACAGTGATTGAGGACCTATTTTATTTGAGTCTCTCAGCTAGATACTGGTAATAAAAATAAAATACTTTCCTTGACCTAAAAAGAGCTCACAATTTGGAGTAGAGAAGGCAAGCATATAAACAATTGAATTCCAATATGTTCATTAACAAAAACAGCAGGTGAGGCAATCATAGTATGAAAAGGAAGATTCATGTGGGTTGGAAAAAGAAATGTTGTGAAAGTTGTGTGTGTGTGTGTGTGTATATTTGTGTGTGTGTGTGTGTGTGTGTGTGTGTGTGTGTGTGTGTGTGTGTAGCTGTGTGGCTGTGTGTGACAGAGAGAGAGAGAGAGATGGGGGCCGCCTGCATGAGCCACATCTGAGCAGCCGAGCACTTTCCCTCAGCCCTGTCCTCCCCTGAGGCACAGTCTGCTTGGACCCCATCAGTGGGCCAGGCCCTGGTTTCAGATGCAGCCTCGCAGGGTGGGGCATGCTGTGGCCACAGTCACAGGAGACAGGCCCAGCGTGCGGCACCCAACCTTGACCCATTCAGAGGCGCCTGTGACTCCCTGGAGGTCTGGGGATTGGCACCTCAAGGCTGTGGCTGTCACAGTAGACACCCTGTCCCCTCCCTGCTCTGACGAGCCAGACCTTACTCTGGAGGAGAAAGTTCTAGATCCAGCTTCTCCTGGAAGTGGCCTGGTTGCTTTGACCTGTGTCTGTCCTCCCTCCCTCCCTCCTGCCCCAGCCTGGCCAACCCTGCTCACCCTCCCTTGAGGCGCAGCTCACCCCTCCTCCAGGAAGGCCTCCGGGCCCCCAGCCTGCAGGGAGGTGCCTGAGGGAGGTGCCATCTAGACCCAGGGTGGGCAGGGGGTGTGGCATTCAGCCCAGGGGTCAGGCTGCGCTGTCCATCCTGTGCTCCGTGCAGGGTGGTACAGGGCTGGGCCCAAGGCTGCACCCCAGGGACGGGAACTGATCCAGTTCAGCTCTGTCCCCAACTCCTTCCTCTCGGCACCATCTAGTCCAAGGTCTGGCCCAGGAAGAGCTGGCCACACCCACATCCCTCACTCCTTGGCTTTTCTCACCATGAAACAGTGTTCCCCTCAGACCCGGCTCCTGAGGGCAGGTGGGGCTTCCTTCTGGTGGGGTGCTGGCCCTCAGGCTGGGGCTTGGGGTCCTGGTACAGGGCGGAGCATGCACAGCAGGCTCTTGTCCATCTGTCCGCCTGCCTATTCCCGTGTCCCTGAGAACCAGGGTTGAAGTGGGGACGATGGGTGTGTGCAGCGGACGATCTGAGTCAGGGCCTCTGGCTGCACCCATTCTGGGGAGACCTAGGCCTGTGACAAGACTGCACTGGACCTGCAGGCAGTGGGTAGATGGACCAGGAGAAGAGGGGTTGGCCCAGCTTGGAACTCTGTGGAGAGGCCCAGGCATCGTGGGTGGCGAAGCGTCCTTGTTTCTCTCTGAATTGCTGGGGCAGGGTTGGGATAGTCTCCTTTCTCTTTTATCCTGAGTTAGAGTTTTCGATAAATGTGGGCATGAAGGTGGGACAGAAGGACAGTGTGCGGGAGGGTGTAGGCTGAGCCTTTGAAGATACAGAAGGAACTCTGTAGCCTCGAGGAGGACCCCGGAGGCTGCTGGAAGCCCACTGGGTGCAGGTGGCGGCCAGAGCCCCGCCTAAACCTTAACCCCTGCAGCCGATGAGGCTCCCGTCTCCCGAGTGCCAGGCAGTGCTGGGCATGTTAATGGATGATCTTAAATCTCCTAACGTGAGGTAAGATTACGATACCCATTTTACAGATGAGAAAAGTGAGGCTCAGAGAGCTTACTAGTAATTTGCTTCAGGTCATACACTTGTAAGTGGTAGCATTGAACCCAGGTTTGTGTTGCTCCAAAGCCCATGTTCTCACTTTTCTGCTAAATTTTCACCTATGGCTGGGAGCTGATTGTGTGTGTGTGTGTGTGTGTGTGTGTGTGTGTGTGTGTGTAAAAGAGAGGGGCATAAGAGAGAGAGTAAATGGCTGTGTCTCAGGGATGGGCTTTGGAAGGGGGTGTAGCTGGCTGAGGACGCTCACACTGCTACTGGACAGGGGCCAACCGGAGCAGGTCTGCCTCAGGCCGGCCTGCAGTGTGTGCGTCCTTGAGTTTGTGCAGGAAAGATGTCACAACGTGAGTCCAGATGGGTGGGAGAGTGTGTTTATTAAAGCTGGGACAGGGATACAAAGGAAGGGCTTAGGGTAGAAGAAACAACAGGGGAGAGCCCAGGCGGGTGCTTTGTCTCCCTAGAAACGTGATAGGAAAGAAGTGAGCCACTGCGGGGCTGCTGCTAGCTCACTGGGAAGTCAGAGAAAAAGGGGGCCTTGGAGACAGGATCAGGGGGTGAGCCTGGGTCAAGCTGCCACTGCCCAGCACTTCCCTGGCTGCAAGCTTCCTGGGAACCCTTAAAAATAAAAAAATAAAAATCATGCTGGGAAGGGGCATGGGCGTGCTCTAGAGTGAGCCTTCATTGAGTTTCTGTCCTGAGGGCTTTTTCCTCTTCCTCCTCCTCCTTCTTTTTCTTGCAGGTGAGAATCTTAGGGGAGGGTTTCAGTAGAATATTCATTAGCTTCCCAGGTTCATTTTTAAATATGTTGATGCATTAAAATGAGTATATAGGGGAGTTTTGGATGACTGTTTGGTCTTTTACTGTTATCGTAGGTCTGTCTGGCGTTAATGGGGCTTTTGTTATTTGTTCCCCAACTCATCTGTCCTTGGGTTTGGTTGGCACACATGGCACTGATTGGGTCTTTGTTCTCTATTTCCCAGGCAGGGTGATTTAAGCTTTGTGTTCTCTGGGTAGGGAGGAGAGGTATAAGCCATTTGCTCTCAAGTGTCCCTGGTTGGGGAAGATAAAGTCTTGCAACTCACAAGCTGGCTGCAAGCCGCCCAAACTGCTTGCCCTTGTTTGATTTTCTTGCCTCAGTTTCCCCATTCCACTTGCCCAGGGATTTTCCTAGCTTCTTACTATCCTGCTACGACACTTTCCAAGGTAGGCGGACACACATCTAGATTTTCACGTAGAAGCAAGGATACCCAGACACAGATTTGCAGACCTGGTAGGTGGATGGTTCTAGAACTGGGACACCTGCCCCCCAGGGCTGGGGCCCTGAGAACAGCCAGGGGCCTCCAGTCCCTTGCCAAGCTGGCCAGCAGCAGGTGGGAGAGTTCTTTTGGCCAAGAGAGAGAAGGAGAGAAGGATACCTGGGCGAGAAGGATACCCTGAGCACCAACACAGAGCACCCAGCATGTGGTGCTGAGCACAGACCCTGGAGCCCGATGGACCTGGGTTCAAATCCTGCCTCCATCACTTCTGAGCCTTATGACCTTGAGCAAAGCACTTCCTTCCCATCTCCGAGGCTTGCTTCCCTTAGCTGTAAGCTGGGGAGTCGTGCCAGCCACCCCACAGGGCTTGGTTAGGATGGATCATACCTGTGAAGCAGCTAGCGGAGTAGATTTACTCATCAGACCATTTTTATTAATTCACCTTTTTGCCAAAAACCCTTCTTGGCCCTGTTCCTCTTGGGACCACGTATTGGACGCAGACTATGCAGAGAGGTGCAGGGCAGGGAGCTGCTCAGGGGACTGAGCTTCTGGCCTCCACCCTCTCTGTGTTGGAATCACAGTGCCCACCTTTTCTGACGGTCAAGACTGTGTGCGGCCTTTCGCACACCTGACCTTGTCCGAGCCCCGCCCCGCAGGAGCCATCCTGACCCTGGGGGCATCTGTGTCCCTTCCTTCTGACGTGTGTGGGTGATAGACTCTGGGTGAGGCTTGGACCCTAAACAGCCGCCTGTTCTGAGCTCCCATTCACGACAGGCCACCCTCTGGCGCCATTTCCGCTCCCACCTCCTCCTCTATCTGTCTGTCTCCCCATCACAGCCTCCAGCCCCTCCGATGTGCAAGCTCCGCTGCAGCGCTGCCCTGCAGTTCCTCCTTCCCGAAGGCTCTCATGCATGCCCCTGCCTGTCCAGCCCGTACGTGTGTGCGCACGCGCGCGCGCGCGCGCGCGCGCGCGCACACACACACACACACTCTAGCACTAGTACATCTGGCTCCTTCTCGTTCAAGCCTCCACTCCTCTGACACTTCTCAGAAAGGTCTCCCCCTCACACTCCTCCCAAGATGTTCTGTCCATCGCTGTTTTTCTTTTTTTGAAATGTGACCTTTGCCGTTTGCAAAAAAAAAATCTGCAAGCTGGAGGGAGAGCTGGAGGGAGCATCTCCGCCCAGAAGCCAGGGGACGGCTGCTTCCTGGCAGCATCCCTTTGCCCAGGCTCTTCTCTATACAAGACCAGGTAGCCAGATGCCCCCAGGCACCCACTTTCCAGAGGTTGTTTGGGCAATCCCTGCCTGAGAGGAGGGAGGGGCTGGTAGCACATTTAAAGAAACTGATAGGATACTAGAGGCCCAGTGCATGAAATTTGTGTACGGGCGGCGGGGTGGGGGGGGGGTCCCCTCAGCCCAGCCTGCACCTTCTTCAATCCGGGACCCCTTGGGGGATGTCTGGCTGCTGGTTTAGGCCTGATCTCAGGGATCGGGCCTAAACCAGCAGTCAGACATCCCTCTCACAATCCAGGACTGCTGGCTCCTAACTGCTCACCTGCCTGCCAGCCTGATCACCCCTAACTACCTCTGCCTGCCGGCCTGATTGCCCCTAACTGCCCTCCCTGCCAAACTGGACGAACTTGCATTTTGGATGTCAACCCACAAGCCCTTAAGGTGCTGAGGACATCCGAGTTCATGCCCTATGTTGTCTTCATCGCTGCTCCGGAGCTGGAGACATTGTGCGCCATGCACAAAGCTGTGGTGGACGCTGGCATTGCTACCAAGCTTTTGACGGACTCTGACTTGAAGAAAACAGTGGATGAAAGTGCACGAATTCAGAGAGCATACAACCACTATTTTGATTTGATCATCGTAAACGACAATCTAGACAAAGCCTTTGAGAAACTACAGACTGCCATAGAGAACCTGAGTTGCCCCCAACTGTCCCCATGCCAGCCTCACCTCTTACTGCCCCCTGTGCCAGCCTGCTCACCCCACACAGCCTGCTGTTCAGTCGTTTGGTTGTCCCTCACTAACCCCCCCTGCTGGCCTTGTCGCCCCATGTAGCCTGCTGGTTGTTACTGTTATTGTGATGGTGTCCTGGACAATTTGTATATTCCTCTGTTATTAGTATAAATGTTTAAAAACCAGTGCATTTTACCCTGGCCGGTGTGCCCTGTGGTTAGGGCATCAGCCCATGCATGGAAGGGTTGCAGGTTTGATTCTCGCTCAAGGGCATGTGCCTAGTTGCAGGTTTGATGCCTGGCTCATGTGGGAAGCAACCAATCCATGTCTCTCACATCTTTCACATTGAAGTTTCTCTCTCTCTCACCCTCTTTGCCCCTCCCTTCCACTCTTACAAAAAAAATCAATGGAAAACATATCCTTGGGTGAGGATTAACAACAAAAAATAAATAAAATAAAAACCAGTGCATTTTGAAAACAAGGAGGATGGCAGTAAACAAGATAAAATATGCTTTTGAAAAAAGAAATTCACATACAGATTTTGAGCACAAAGAAGAGTCAACAATCAGGTGTCTGGTCATCGGAAAGGAGACACAGTGTTAGTTCAGCATTTGTAACTCAAATACCAGTAGGTGACTGTTCTTTTGATGCCTGGGGCTGACTGCCCTGATCTTTCTCACGTGGATGTACAGACCCCTGTGTTCACACCAGCCTACCCTTTAGGCTTGAGGAGGGAGGACATGGTGGAGACAAGAAGGGAGAGGTTTTCTTTTCTGCATAGCACTTTCTACTGCTGAAATTATCCTTGCTGTTCACTTCTCCAGGCCTATCTCCCCCAGCACCCCCTGCATGAATGTATGCTTTGTGAGGGCCCCACTTTATCCCTAATATTCCCCAAACCTAACACAGTGCCTGAGTGATGGGCAGGTCCCTTTGACACCCCAAAACCCTTCCCTCTTTGTCAACCTCTAGCTGGGCAAACATCTCTTTCAGATCGTGCTGGACTGGCCTCCCTGCAGACTCCACCTGCCTGGTTCTCCCACTGGGACGCCCATGATGGCCAGCTCAGCACCCATGCTGCCAGTGTTGTATTGACCTGGGACAATGGCCTGAGAGATGGATGCGGTGGGGGAAGAGCTTTCTCTCCTCTTTCCCTCAGGCTCTGTCCTGCACATGCTGTTTGTGAGGGGGAGTTTGGCAGGAACGACCTCATCTTTGTTCTTGGGTGGAGTGTATACTGTACAGGTATGAGGGTCACCATATCCAGGAACTCCTCCCTGAACCCTCGCTCTTCAAACTCAGGGACCAGGTAGACTCAGATGAACCTTCAGATGAACCTGTCACCACTTAAGCTCTCGCTGCTCTCCACCCAGCACTCAGGAACCAAGTAGGTGAGGATAATGGGACTGTCCTGATCCTCCAGGTTCTTGCTTCTTAGGAATGGAACAGATTTGGACAGCAAGGGATATTTGCGTGTTAAAGAATGTGTGATCGTTTTTATATCTTTAGTAGCTGTTGCTTGAGAAAACATATAAATGTGCTAAATTCAGAAAGAAGTTACATTTAAATGATTGTATTTTTTGAGTCACAGAGACCTGCATGTACATTTGATTTATATCCAACACTTCTTTTCACTTTGTTGATTTTTGTGTGCTGTTGTAAATGGTGTTGGTTTTTAAATTTCAAATTCTAATGGTTCATTTGGGATATAGGAGTGAAATTGACTTTTGCATATCCATCTTGTATCTTGGGATCTTGCTATATTCAATTACTAGTTTTAGTGGGGTTTTAAAATAGATTTTGTAGATTTTTTAATTTTCTACATAGAATACCATGCCATCTGAGAATAAAGACAGTTTTATTTTTTATTTCAATATATGTATACTTATTATTTCTTTTTCTTGTCTAATTGCACTAGCTCAGACTTCTTCCACATTCCTTTGGGAAACAGTCCCATATCCACATTAGAAATACTCAGTTATGGTGCATCTGGATTCTCAAACTCCCTTACAGCAAATCCAGGGCCCAGGGGTAGGAAGTTGCTGACCAGCCTGTCAAGCTGTCGACACTGGTGGGTAAGAATCAGAAGGTTAGAGGGTCCTCATGGGGAGCGTGGGGAAGACCCAGCTTTGCACCCAGAGGTGACTTCTGATCAGTGTTCCCTGTGACTTCTGCCTTTTCTATGTCTCAGAACATGCTTTTGCCTGGCTCCCAGCCATGGAGTCCAAGCTGGGTGTGGTTTTGGCAGCTGGTGGTGGGTGGGGTAGGAGGGACAGGCAGGAGGGCTGCGGCCCTGGGCTGACCTGGGCTGGCCTCTTGCTTCAGGAACAGTTTATGTTCGAGATCTGGGCTCAGGGCAGGGAACAGTGCTGGCATGCTGCAGGGTGACAGGGTGTGGTGAGCGGAAGCTGCAGTAGGTTCTCCAAGGACTTCATCGTAATGTGAACTGTAGCTGTGGCACGAGTGGAGGGGAGAGAAGGGCTGCCCGCCTCTCACTTGTTTATTGTGCCAGATGGGCTCCTCAAACATCGTCAGAATTGAAAAATTTCAAGGGACTGTCTCTGTCAAGGATTTCATTGTACATATGAGGAAACCGAGGCAGGGGCTTTGCTGATACAGGAGCCCAGGTCTCTCTGGAGACAGGACATGTGTGCTTGGTGGCCAGGGCTGAAGCCTCAGGGAAGATATACCCTGTGTGCCTGGTGGTTTCACTGTTTTCTGTTGCATCTAAGATACAATTAATTATAAGGCGCACCAGTTCTAAGATCCCTGAGAAGCAATAAACAATGCCAATTAAATTATGACACACCATCATGTAAGATGCACCCCAATTTTAAAGATGATAAAGTGTGAAAAATGTGTGTCTTAGGATTGATAAAATAAGATGAATTCATAAAATCGATAATCATATAAAATTACACGTGCAGTGTAAAAACCGAGTTTTCCCTGCCTCTTCTAATCAAATTCTACTCAGTAGAGATAATCTCTATTGACATTTTTGGCACATGTCCTCGAGACATGTTAATGCATCTGTAAGTATATTTATACAGTAATTATTGTTGAGAACACTTGCTATATGCTGGGCCCTGTGCTGAGCACTCTGAGGCATGTTAGTTAATCTTTACAACAGGCTCATGAGGCAGGTATGAGCTCTCCTCCCTTTATAGCTGAGGACACTGAGGCCCAGAGAGATGAAGGGACTTACCTGACATCACACAGTTTCAAAGAGGGGAGACCTGAGCTTGAATCCAGGCCCCTTCAACCTCAGGGCCTGAGCTCTTAACTAACTTGCTGCTCATATCCTCGATATGCAGATATGAGTACGGTATGTCTTTCAAAAGCGAGGTCCAAAGGAACATACGGTTCTGCAATATTTTTCTCCTAACCATACCCCATGGGCATCTTTCCATGTCAGTACCTAAGGAGCTACTTTATTTTTCGAATAGTTGCAAAGAATTCTCCTACGACGGTATTTGAACAGACTTCCAGTCCCCTACGGCATTTCTCCCAGTTTTTTGTTATTACCAGAACGCTGAACGGGTCAACTGTATACTTCCATCTCTGTGTACTTCTCTAATTATTTCCTCAGGAAAATTACCAGGTCAATTTCCTTCCAACACGTTTATGGTTTTAATTTTTACAATTAGATTTTAATCCATCTGCAGTCCCCAGTATTTCATGTGTCAGGAGAGCATGCAGAGAGGTTTGTGGATGTGCTAGGCTTCTGTAGCTGGCTTTCCCCTCCCTGGTCCAGGGGCAGGAGTGGGGTTGGGGCAGAGTTCAGGGAAGGGGCCACATTCGCTGTGTGCCCTTGCTCCTCCCTGCTCCAGAGAACCCCTCCGCCCATGCCCTGGCCTCTGTAGATATTAAGAATAATAGCAATTGCCATGACGGCGCCTCCCGAGATACAGGCTATAAATATGCACTATTTTTTATCTTTCGAGTTTAGGGTTGTTGTCAGTTTTCTATAGATGGGGAAACCGAGGCTGCCGTCTGGAAAAGGAAAGGCTTGCACGTGACAGAGATGGGGCAGAGCTCCAGCTCAGGCCCTGGTCTTAGCGCGGGGATTTCTCTCCCGAGGCTGCAGCCCTGC